AAGCCCTCATATTGGACAAATAAAACTATTTAACATTTTAAATAAAATATAATTATAATATTAATAAAACACAATATAATAAGACAAAGAAAACCCAAAGAAATTAAAGGATAACTTTAAAAATGTTATAAAGTAATATAAAAATGTTATTCATAATTACATCGTCTATGTAGCTATTGATTTATACATTTTTTTAAATATTTCAAAAATTAAAAGGACTTAAAAATAAGATGTAAAAAACCCCCAAGATGTATCTTGAAAAGCTGTGAACTTTTTCACATTTTTCCTTTAGTCCCTCGACAGTATCGCCAGCGACCTTTGGCCGTCTTAATTTCTCGCTCGTTCGCTCTAGGTATTTACAAATTTTCACCTTCTTCCTGCCGTTTGCAAACAACCGAATGCTATCAGCTTGCGGTGGAACTCTTTACAACTTTTACACATCCTGTGACACCGCTTCGGTAGGATGTTTGTGCGCTTGTGTCTGTGGACTAACCTTCGAGCTATATCCCAGGCGGTTGCTATCATGGCATTCACCACATAATCGGCGGGCACCATATTCGCCTTGCAGCTGGCCGTGCCGTAAATGCAACGGACGAGTCCCCGGGCGGTCCAAGTGCATAAACCTGATGGCCCGTACAAATTATCAGTCCAGCCGGGAAATGGATCCTTGTACGTTGACATTACTGCGAATAAATAAGAATTAATGGCTGCTTTGTTCGCTCGGCCAGAGAGAATCGCCGGCGAAGGAGGAGCACTTTTACTGCGGCGACTGCGGGAGTTTCCCTGTTTCCTTGTTGATTTTAGCCAACGTCAAAGCGATAATGGTAGCGAGTCCGCCAGTTGAGTTCCCTGAATTCCATATCCCATATCCCATCTCCACTGCTCATTGCCAACTTCCCCCTTCCATTTGCCATTCGCTAACTGATATGCCTGACTCCCAATTGCAAGTTTTGGACTTGATTTTTTTCCAATATACTCTAAGACAAGGGACTTAATATGCTAGGACATCAAATATAAATATACATTAAAGAAGAAGAATATAATATAATATAATTTTTTCTTTGATAAATATCTTTATTAATTAGTATAAATATTTGTGCCAAAAATATGTTCACTTTAATTTGGAACCAAAAATTAAGTAACTAAAGTGTACTAAAACTTTTGTAAAACATCTTTTAAGAGCAAGTAAAAAGTAAAAAATAATATAATATTTTTATTTTAGTATTATTTTTTTCTTAATATTAAAAAAAAATATTCCAGTTTTTCAATAAAGTGAATAAAGTTCCAATAAGTTTCTTTTAAAGTTAGGGTATTTCTTTATATGCCCGATCAAACGAAAATTGTCCGTTTTCCATTGCCATTCTCGTTTGGCCAGGCAGCTTAGGATGCAGCTGCATGAGGACGATGCTTTGGCATTTTTGTGTTAAAATAAATGAAAATTTGTTTGCGCTTTGTTCCTCGAGAGCTTCGGCAGCCCAACCCACCCCCCAACTCCCCTGAGCACTGAGACGATGGGTAAAACCAAGTCAGCCATCGTCAGACTTTTTGTTACGTTTCGTTCGTTACGTTACGTTGCGTTTTGTTGCAGCAGCAGTGCCACAAACAAAGAAGCAAACTAAATCACAAAAAAGGAAAAAGAAGAACCCAAAATATAAAAACTTTTTCCACATGCATTTATCTGGTAAACCCTAAGAGCCCCTCCCTTCAAAAAACATATCTCCTGCTACCGAATGAAGACAACTCTGTTGGCCATTTTTCTGAAAATTTTAAATATTCCTTTTTTGCCAGGGATCCTCTAGGGGATCCTCCTCTTTTCATGGCAAGGAGCGGAAAATATTTCTTGTGTGTGTTTTCGCTTACACAATGCCTGCCCCTGGGCATTTGTGCTAATTATCTGACAATTAGTTTGTTAAGTCAAGTCTGCAACCGCAATAAATATTCCGCACACCTCCCACACTCACCTATGGGCGGTCGAAAGATGCCCGCCGGCATGTGGAATGCACGGTGATTCACCAGATTCTCGGCGCACTTCTTGGTCATCGTGTAGGTGTTGGGCATCTGGCCAATCAGACAGTGCCGCATCTTCTCCAGCGTTTCGTCGTCGAATGTGCGATAGATCTGCGGAAACACATACGTTTTCCAGTGAAAACATTTTCCAATTTAAGTTAACTATCATATCGCAAATCAAAAATGGTGTTCGGGATTTTTTTACACGGTAAAAGTTTGTTAAGGGGGTACCTATATGTATTTGGTTGGCAATGTGATAATAATCTAGAAAAACTTTATGTTAGGTTAACCCTAGGGTTAAATGGGTGTTTAAAAAATTTGACTTTTATTAGAAATCATAGAAGACTTTTGAATATATTATATATAATATTTAAAAAAAGTCATATTTAATTTAAAATATATGTATTTAAAGGTTAAATCACAATTTAATTTTTTTTTTTAATTTCTTTACAGAATAGAGTTTAGTCGAAAAGCGTTTTTCCGTATTTCCAAAAGGTTTTCCTTTATGATATTTTATTTTTATATGAGCATTACCAACCTGCATGATTTTTTCGTAGCCAATTTCGTTCTCGTACACTTGTTCCTTGATGAATTTGCGATTGCAGTTGCAGTAGAGTGTCGAAATGTGCACGAAGGACTGTTTTCCCGCGGGGAAGGTGGAAAATGGGGAACCCCCGAAAACCGAAATCGGGAGGGGAACACGCATGTCGAATGTTGATTGAATTGTGTTGGAAATTGTTTGCCCGCCGACGCCGTAAAATATGCAACATCCAAATAAATTGGGAAAACGGGGGAAATGTGGGGAGAAAAGAGAGAAATCAGTACGTAAATATTACAATTCATACTCAAATATTCCTGCATGCATTCAGACATGGGAATTATGTATTTTGGTTACTTGAAAGCGCCGATATGCGAATATTTAACATTTATTTTACCGTTGTTTATTTTCACTAATGGATATGTGGCCATGATAGGTGGGTGGCATATAATGTTCGTGGGTGTCTTTAATCGGCTTTAAATTTGCGAGAAATCGATATTGAATGGCAATGTAGGTAAGTAAGGATTGGTTCCGAAATAAGTACAAACGAACTTAAATTACGAGGTATGCTTTTTTTGGATTTTTAAGAAAAAGTAATTTTAAATGCAAAATCAACTTGTAATGTGTTTATTCTTATTTAGCAGTATATTTAATTTTCCATCCCTTACCTTCATCTGCTTCATTTCCATGGCCAAGTCGAGTATCTTTTTAGTGCCGAGAACATTAATGTCAATAGCGTCGCTCAGTTTCTCATTGAATTTCACCGAAGCCACAACGTTGAAGACAATCTACAGGCGAAGAAGATAAACCAGACCCTCGAATTGTAATGCATATTAAAAATGAAGAGAACAAAAAGGCGAAGAGGGCCCAGTAACAGAGAAATGCTCAAGCAAAATGCACGAGAGATGTGCATACAAAGCAGAATCCATCAGTGTTGGCAAGTCAATAGTTACTTTTAAAGAGGTACGGTTCTTAAAATTAATTTGGTGTTAAAGAAATCTTTATTTCTTTCTAAGGCCTATGATTTGTTTCTAATAAAATGGTCCTATAGAAAAAATAATATAAATATTATCAGTACCAATAATGTCATCTAAAATGTGTATGTACATTTTAAGTTACATATAGAATAGCAAAACAAACATATTTAAAAGGAAAAATAAATTTGGTAATAAAATAAGTTTTATAAAATATTTTACGATAGGATGGTTAATATTTTCTGTAAAAAAAATTGCATAGGTCATCACTGGCTAACTGCTAAAACTGCGATCTGCTGGGGAATGTTTGGCCTGCGTTCAGCGATAACCTCAAAGTCAGCACACAAAATGCAGAAAAAGAAGCTGTGGCAGATGGGAAAAGCGGCGGTCCTGAAAACAGGACGCGGTGGCGAGTGGCGGGAATGGGAACGGGAATCCTGCAGTGCCACGCGTGCATTGAACATCGACAACAAAGCAATTTCAGCTTAAAACAGTGCAACCGGACTCTAAGCAGACCATCCCGGGCCTGAGTGACTTGTATGCAAAATGTTTTTGCAAACAGCACGGGATGCTGAGGAAAAATAAAAACGACCAACGGATGCGGATGCGGATGAGGATGCGACCGGATGGCAGGACAATGGCTCGCGCATGCCGAGCACTTGAAGCATGCACAGGAATTTTCATTTATTTATATATTGTGTTTTATAACCAACAGCAGCAGGAGGAGCAACAGCAGCAATACCGCCAGGATACGCCAGCCCCTACACATTTTCACAGTTTTACGTGGCGGCGGGTTTTTCAATTTTTGTTGAAAAGTAGAATACATACATATATATTTATATAGATGCACATGCATACATATCGTGTGCCTCTTGTGATCAGCAAAACAAAAAAAAAAAAAAAAATAAGAGGAAAAGGGCGAGAAACGAAAGAAATAAACTGACTGCATGGCTGGTGTTGTCGTAAACATTGCGCCTGCCTTTGGCATGCAACGTTTTACGTATACGTAATGCACGAACTAGGGAAGCCGAGGGGAAGCTTACGATAACCAGAAAGGCACTGGGAAAAAATATTTAAAATTTCCATTGAAATATATATTAGACCCACCAAAACATATATCCTTAGGTAAGCAATTTGTTGTGACAATTTATATTGTCAAAGATGAGCAAAGATGCTCTGGGGTTTTTCCACCAATTTGAAAATTATAACTCTAAAAGGTGCACTTCATGGATGGTCTATTTATTATCTACAATTACTTCGAATTCAGTTTTTTCACTTTACAATCTTCAATGCTGACAATGGTATCAATTTTAATTTATTATATTAGATTATTAAACGCGACCAGCGGCTGGGATGACTGCTTCTGTTCGATGCCCATAAAAGAATCGTCGATCGTTCTCTCTCTTGTGACTCCCTTTACATAAAACTCGGTTATAACAGAGTGGTGGGTTTATGTTCTCTCAACTACAGCACTTTGCTGTAAAGAAATAAGTGTCATTACGATATGTAGAGGTGGACAAAGTATGTACGTAATTAATGTTTATTCCGTAGCCTCTGAATAAGTAGCTAATGGCAATGGACAGATTTTCGACAAAGAGCGTTTATAAATTCCGGATGCCGTCTTAATAGATGCGACTCGAATGAGATTATCAGATCCTGGATGTAATTCGACTATGCGACCGAGCTTCCATTCATTTGGCGGAAGCCGATCATCTTTAATAATAACTATGTCGTGTAAACGCAAGTTTTCCTCAACCCGCTGCCATTTTGGACGAGATTGTAAGTGTGAAAGCCAATCCGAGCTCCAACGATGCCAAAAGGTTCGAAGCAGTCTTTGTCCTTCCAAGAATTGTGCGTTTAACGATTTATCCGAAGCTGATGGATTAGGTAGCGCCATCATGGAATCGCCAATTAAGAAATGGGCCGGTGTCAGTACTGCTAAATCCTCCATATCCGAGCTCAACGGGCAAAGTGGGCGAGAGTTCAAACAGGCTTCGATTTGAACCAAAATAGTTGAGAGTTGTTCGTAGGTCATGAGCGCCCCTTTACACGTGCGATGTAAGTGTGTCTTAACCGCTTTAACATTCGCCTCCCATAATCCACCGAAGTTTGGGCTGTGTGGCGGATTGAAATGCCATTGAATCTGCTGAGCGGTTAATTTTGGAATAACCGTTGCGATAACGCTTTGTCGAAACTCTTCATGCCAAAGGTTTAGGGATTTATCTGCTCCAATGAAATTGGTACCGCAATCGCTGTAGATGTGTTGGCAGTATCCACGTCTGCCAATAAAACGTTGTAGAGCCCACAAAAAATCCTGAGAAGACAATCCGGTAACAGCTTCCAAGTGGACTGCCTTTGTCGCCAAGCATATAAAAACTGCAATATATGCCTTGTATTTGTGGTGTCCACGAAACTTTGACGCTTTGATTTCTAGCGCACCGGTATAGTCCACGCCTGTGGCTTCAAAGGCTCGCTTTGGTGGGTTCACTCGATGTAAGGGAAGGTCTCCCATGAGCTGCGTGACTGCCTTCGGTCTGTGCTTGAAGCAGTCAACACATTTGTGCAGAATCTTTTTAACTGCCTGTTTCCCATTAAGAATCCAAAACGTTTGCCTTGTCACTGCCAGTGTAAGTGATATCCCGCCATGTAATGTGTTGAGATGAGCATTACGAATGACAAGTTCGGTAAAATGATGATCCTTTGGCAAAATGATCGGTGTGCGTTGATGCGGCGATAGGTGCAATGCATTTTTCAATCTCCCTCGGACACGCAGCACTCCTTCGTTATCTAGAAATGGGGAAAGTTGACTTAATTTGTTCGATCTAGATAAATGTGTTTTTGTCTTTATTTTTTGAATCTCCACCTTAAACGTTTCATGTTGCACTAGTCGGACAATGTGCCCTAGTGCCTGCTGAAACTCCTGGGCGGTAACTGGACCTCTCTGTCGAGAGTCCACGCGCGTTTGTGAATTGTGAATAAAGCGTCGTACGTAAGCCATTATAAACAGAAGTTTGTTGTAAGATGAAAACGACGTGAGTAAAGAGTTTGGATTTCTCTCAACGCAGCTGTGGGTTTGTAGAGAAAGCGATTTTTGCTCACACGAGAGATTGGTGCTATCAGGAATGTCAAAGATTTTGCTAGGCCATTGAGATTCTGGTAGTCGTAGCCAAGAAGGCCCCTGCCACCATAAATCATAGGCAGCTAATTGATCTGGATAGAGACCACGCGTCGCGCAGTCTGCAGGGTTATCTCCGGTGGGCACATGTCTCCATTGAGATGCAGAACTGGACTCCAAAATTCGTCCTACACGATTCGCTACGAATGTTTTCCAATGTAAGGGATCCCCCGCAATCCAATAAAGAACGATCGTTGCGTCGCTCCAGAAATAGGTCGAAATGGGATGCGTTGGTTGATCTATTTGCTTGCAGAGCCAGTCACCCAGTTGTGCGGCGAGTACAGCTCCACATAGTTCCACTCTAGGAATTGTCAACGGCTTTGTGGGTGTGACTCGACTCTTTGCAGCTATGAGATGCGTGTATACCGAGTTATTTGTATGTTGGACCCGCACATAGGCACACGCTGCGTATGCCATAGAAGAGCCATCACAAAAGATATGCAGCTGCAAGGATGCGATGGTGCTGGGTAAATACTGTAACCATCGGGGTATTCTCAGTGATTCAATTTTAAGTAAATTGGTGCAGTATTCTTTCCACTTGTGCTGAATTACTGGCGGTACCGTTGCGTCCCAAGCTAATCCTGCTGGAGTGCCATCAGCCTGTTGAATACGTATGCTCCAGACTTCTTTGAGAATAACCTTGGCGATGATTATGACTGGAGCAACGAAACCTAAAGGATCGTACAGACGTGCAACTGTAGCAAGAATTGATCGTTTAGTGAAAATTTCATCAATTGTAAATTTTAATTTGAAACCATAAAAGTCTTCCTTGGGGTGCCAATATAGCCCCAAAGTTTTAATGGACTCTTGGTTTTCGATTTCCAAAATTTTGGAATTGGACATGTGCTCAGGAGGAATAGAGTTCAAAAGACTGGGATGATTTGCTGCCCATTTTCGAAGCTCCATACCAGCTGATTGAAGTGCCCCGATGACATCATCTCGAACTTGAAGGGCTCCCTTAATTGTCTCATGTCCACTTTGCAAATCATCCACATATATTTCTTTTCGTAAAACATGTTCTGCTAATGGAAATTGATCTCGTTCATCCTGAGCGATCTGATGCATGATGCGAATGGCTGTGTACGGGGCTGATGCTGTTCCAAACGTCACAGTTGTTAAACAATAATCCTTTATAGCATTGTTTTCCCTTTGCCAAATAATCCGTTGGAAGTGTGTATCCTCCGGGTGTACATCGATGCAACGATACATTTTCTGAATATCGGCCGCAAAGACATATTGTAAAAATCGCCAATTGAGAATGACCCCACCAAGGTCGTTTTGTAAGGCTGGGCCTATACAGAGAATGTCGTTGAGCGATTTTCCATTTGATGTCTTGCATGAGGCGTCGTACACAACTCGAAGTTTTGTGGTGCTGCTGTCCGCCTTCAGAACTGCATGATGGGGTAATGTGCATGCAGTATAACTGATTGAGCCTCCTTTGTCCGCCAGGCGATGCTGTTCTTCTGAGGTGATGGCTTCAGTTATTTGGTGCAGCTCGAAGTATTCCTCCATGACCTTTGAGTATTGTTCATACAGATCTGGTTTCTTTTGGAATTTTCGCTGTAAAAAATGAAACCGATTTAGGGCAGTTTGTTTTGATTTTCCTATGGTTTGGTTAGGATCAAATAAGGTTTTAAATGGTAGGCGCACCATGTACTTTCCATTTGGTTGGCGTATATGAGTGCGTTTAAAGTGGTCTTCGCACCATTGTTCTTCCGCAGTGTAGAGACGGGTTGTACTTACTGCTTCCAATTCGAAGAATTTTTGAACTAGAGTTTCCAGATTAGAATGATGACATTGTATGGATATCGTGTGTGTCTGTTTTGGCGTAATTCTGCCAAAAATGATCCAACCAAGTTGCGTGCATTGGGCAATTGGTTGATCGTAAGATCCTCTCCTGATTCCACTCATCATAAATTGTGGAATGGTGTCCACGCCGAGGAGCACATCTATGCTATTAGTGTGCATAAAATTTGGGTCGGCGAGCTCCAACCCAGTTAAATGTGGACACGTTGGTAGAGTTAGATTCGTCCTTGGTAAAGGAGAAGTCAGGGTACGCAAAACGAAGGCATTTTCCACCCACATCTTGAATCCTGAATTAGTAGTTGAGCTTAAAGTACATTCGGTGCGATATTTGCACCTGTTGGTGGAATTCCCTCCTACCCCTGATATTTCTGCTGAGACTGGAAATCGGGGAAGCCCTAGCGCTTGGACTACAGTTTCCGTAACAAGGGTACCTTCTGATCCATGATCGATAAGGGCTCGGACCACCGCTGACTGACCTGTGGCATTACTATGAAGACGAACCAGAGCAGTTGCGAGAATCATCGTATGAGGTGTTGAATGTGAGGCTGACGCGCTGATGAGCTGTGTGGTGTTGCTAGATGCTGTCAGACCCTGTGAGTTGAGACTAGTTATGTTTCCTGCAGACTGCGCGACATCACTAGCCTTTACCTGGGTTGGGAAATGTAAGAGAGTGTGATGGCGTTGTCCACATTGTAAACAGTTTTTGCTGCTGTTACATTTTGACAGAGAATGGGTGGGGCTGAGGCAATTGAGACATACCTTACTGCGGTCAACAATAAGTTTGCGAGCGAAAGAATCCTTTGCTAAAAAGTCTGGACAACGACGTAAGATGTGTTGGTCATTGCAATGAGCGCAGCGAACAGAGTTGGTAGTAACCCCTGAAGTATGGCAGCTACTGATCCTGGTTTGTGCGTTGCCTGAATGTTTGATGACGTTTCGTTGGAAGCCGTTGACTCCTTGTGGTTGCCGTGGTGGAGGTGGAACCTTGCGACCTTCAATTATATCGATGCTAAAAAGTCGGTTGTTGAGAAATGATTCCAAAGTGAAAAAGGTTGGGATTTCCTTTGTACTCCCAAGACTGTGTTCCCAGGCTTGGATAGTTTGCGATGGCAGCTTAGTGGTGAGATGATGCACAATCCAATGATCGCAATTGGCAATTGCAATGTTGAGGCGTTTGAACTCATTGATGCAAACGTTGGCAACGTTTAACATATGTTTTAGTTCGGCTGAACTTTCTTTGGAAATTGATGGCAACTCATATAGGGTATTCATATGATGCATGAATAACAATCGGGGATTATTATAACGCGTAACAATGAGACTCCAGGCGACGAGATAATTCGCTTCAGTCAAGTCCATTTGATGCACGTCTTGATCTCGGTCCGCTGGGAGTGCTTGCTTCAGAAAGTGGAATTTTTGTATGCTGGAAAGTGCACCATTATCGTGAATAAGTTGTTGAAAGACATCATGAAAGGCTGGCCATTCAGTCAGCTTGCCAGAATAACTAGGTACTGGTAATTTTGGTAGTTGAACTGTAGAGCCAGGCGCTTGTAGCATGGTGGTGTTGTGCATCGTTGAATTAGAATGGCTAGGAGTAGCGTCGCTGGGAACTGTTGGAAACCGGGTCTCGAAGGCGTCTCCAATCTCGCAATAATATGTTAAGTAAGACTCTTCAAACCTTGCTGCTAGTTGAGAGGTAAAATATTCATGTTCAGGTGAGCAACCGTTCAATAAAAGAGTTTGATGATTGGTGTCGAATTCCTTTGAGAAATTTTCAAGTTTATTTATACGAGTTTGAAAATAGATTTTAGTTTTTCTTGACTGAAACTCATGGGCCACCAAAATGTTGTGACAATTTATATTGTCAAAGATGAGCAAAGATGCTCTGGGGTTTTTCCACCAATTTGAAAATTATAACTCTAAAAGGTGCACTTCATGGATGGTCTATTTATTATCTACAATTACTTCGAATTCAGTTTTTTCACTTTACAATCTTCAATGCTGACAATGGTATCAATTTTAATTTATTATATTAGATTATTAAACGCGACCAGCGGCTGGGATGACTGCTTCTGTTCGATGCCCATAAAAGAATCGTCGATCGTTCTCTCTCTTGTGACTCCCTTTTTAAAATTTTGATAAAGTTGTTTAACACGTTCAAAAATATCAGCTTGAAGTATATGTAGGTTTGATAGGCTGGCATCGCTGGATGCCTGCCCCTGCTCCTGGTCTTTATCTGCTGCCATGTTTCAGCTTTGATTGTATTACTCTTATACACTGAAAAATGTACTCAATACTTTGTCAACTCACCAACACACCACAACGACACTTACCCCTTTCAAGTTGTGACGTAACGAAATTGAACGAAAAGTCTGGAAGTCCAAGTGAAGTCGCTCCAGGTTTGACGAAAAGGTGTGGGGGATGCGACGTGATAGATTTCGGCAGCGAAACAGCTTCTCTCCAGCATCTAAATTAACCCACGTTGACTTCGGCAAAGCGATGGATCGGCAGGGCAGCGCAGTTGGAGGGTAAAGCGTATGGGACGATAGTGTAACAGCACTTATACATGTGCTGCCGTTTGCTGGTTATATGTAGTTGCGAATGGAAAATTTATAACCATGTGCCAGATTTCACAAAGTTTAGATCCAAACTGATTAATTAATTCGAAAACAGATTAGTAGATAATTATTCCAGAAGGCGTGATTGGATGGGTCCCCTCATGGGCCACCAAAATGTTGTGACAATTTATATTGTCAAAGATGAGCAAAGATGCTCTGGGGTTTTTCCACCAATTTGAAAATTATAACTCTAAAAGGTGCACTTCATGGATGGTCTATTTATTATCTACAATTACTTCGAATTCAGTTTTTTCACTTTACAATCTTCAATGCTGACAATGGTATCAATTTTAATTTATTATATTAGATTATTAAACGCGACCAGCGGCTGGGATGACTGCTTCTGTTCGATGCCCATAAAAGAATCGTCGATCGTTCTCTCTCTTGTGACTCCCTTTACATAAAACTCGGTTATAACAGAGTGGTGGGTTTATGTTCTCTCAACTACAGCAAACGTCCGAACACAATTTTTAAGGATTAATTTAAAATGTTTACCTCCAAAAAACTATAACAATTCCTTCAGTGCTTTAAAAAAAAGTTAAGGAATACTTTTACAAGTAAATTAAATTATTAAAAAAACACATATATTTAACTAGTCACTAAAAAAACTACGTTTTTAAAGCCTTGATTTTTAAATATTTTTACTATCTCCATTTAAATATATTTGTTCTTCAAAATATATTATAGACCAATTTTAAAATAACGAGACTTGATTAATAGAATAAAACTAATTTTCAACAATAAAAGAAAAACTCTCCATAAAATAAAAAATGTTTTTTAAAATATAGAATAATAATCATGAGTCAGTCATAATTCAGGACAAAGAAGTTAATCAAATCAAATAAATATAAGCTAATGAACCCAATTCCGATGAAATATAGATTTATTTACTTGTTAATAGTTATTAAAAGCTTTTTTTTAGGAAAACTAATTTTTTGTAGTGTAAATAGATACGAGCAGACAGGAATCGGGGGAGCCATCCAGATAGGCAAACACAACAAAGGCCCATGAAAAGTTTCTCACACAAAAAGTCCATTGATTGAATTGCCAACCGAGGAGTACTGCTGCTAGCGGTGGATTGAAACAGGTGATTGAGGGAAGGGAAAGGGGAAGGGGCAGGGGAACGTCAACAAAACTTACTCACCTGGACCTCAGACGAGAGCATTGCTCGGTCGGCGGCTTCAATGTCCAGGTCGATGGCACTGTAATCAGCGCGTATCGGATGCACCTTCTCCAACAATTGCGGTGACTCCTCGCGCATACTATTGAATATCTGTTCGGGAGGTTGGGTTGGTATTCTTTTTTATCCGACATTGTCCTTGCCAAAGGGATGGGATGGGGGATCTGACAGGCTCCGCCCTTCCTGTCCTGACACTTACCGATTCATTGAAAAAGCCCTGCAAGCGCTCCTGCACGCTCATGTTGTCCTTGCTGCGTATCAGCATGTAAATTTTACGCAATCCAAACGAGCGAAGCAATTTCTCTGTTAGCACTTTGCCCACGAAGCCCGTACCGCCGGTAATGAGAACGGTGGCATTGCCATAGAAATCGGTTACCGGTGTCTTACTGACAGCCGCCGCGGTAAAGGTACTAAAAGGTAGTGTTCCACTCCCATCGGCACTGTTGGTTCTCGTACTGCAGGCCGCCTCCTGGAAGACCTGCTCCTCCTCCTCCTGATCGATCTCATGCCCACTAGCACAGCCATTGCTACTACGACGCGAGGAGCTGGTGGACGAAAAGGCCTTGCGAGCAGCTTTTGGGGGGATTTTAAGGAATATATATTAACTGGACTGATTAAAAACAGAAATAACTGATCGGAAGTAATTTAAATTATTTTACTAAGCATAAGAAATATATAAATTATTTAAGAACCTTCGCTGAAAAAATGATGGAAGAATAAAAAATAAACTTTGAAACATTGATTTGAATTTGAAAATATTTAAATGAAGACAGAAAATATAAGAAATTATATTACTCATTTTCACTTTAAATTAAATAAATTAAAGCTGAAAATATTTGTATCAACTATGATTTTCAAATTAAATATTTCTAGCGAGGGATACTTAAATTGAATTCTATTAATATAAAAATTAAATTAAAATATTTATTGATTTGTAATTAAGTCGGCAATAAATTCTTATGTTTTCTATAAAAATAACTTACAGTAATTTTATTAAATTATTTTAAAGATTTTGTAATTATATACCAGATTTTCTACTGCACTCACTTTTACTTGGATTTGCCTCGCGCATGGTTTTAAAATGATATTGCTTATCCAAAAATCGAACCGTTCACTTCAAGGGTAAAAAGCACATTGACAAGTTTTCAATTTCAATGCGACTAAAAACTAGGATTTTAATCAATAAACGGCAGACATGTATCGAAAAGATTTTCCCACCGCCAGTCAATTATATTAATATGAAGTACACACGATATATATCCCTTCTAACCCAATTATACGATATCTATTTGTGTGAGCGGTGTGTGCAGCCAACCCCCTGCACTTTTTCGCTATAAGTATAGGTAGTTTATATATATTATTTTGAAACCGAAACGCGGGGCTGCGGGGCATGGCTGACATTGTGTGGTTGCATTTGACCTGATGACCTGGCCGCCGGATGTCTGGCGAAAAAGGGAGAGGACGGTTCAGCCGGCTCTTTCACTCTCCTTCCATCCTTCCGTCCGCTTGTTGAGCCATTTTAAACAATGTTAATTATTCAATTATCAACAGCCAATGCGGCTGTGTCCATGTGACCATGTGTCCTTCTAACCGTAGCGACGCTGTGTGAGTATAGGTGTGCGTGTGAATGTCCGTGTTCTTTTGTCTGTGTGTGCCTGGCCATATCCTCCGTCACAGTTGGTCCTTGTTCATCGCGTGATAGAGTGCACAGCATATGTTGTTTGATTGCAAGCGAAAAATAAGGCGCAAGTACTACAGATGCACTGAGAAAATATTCCTGATTTATTTTAATTTCTTAATAGGCACATTTTTAGAAACCAAAAAAATCCAACATCCTACTTTTTCTGGCCTCAGATATATATTGTCCAATTTTTTCAAACATTTCAATTTAAATTAAAATTTATTTATGTTTGTCTGTTTGATGATACTAAATATTATAAAGCTTTTGCCATACTTTTTATTTTATATAATAAATTAAATAATAATTAAATTATTTACAATTAAATAATTTGTCTTATAATAAACTGACTATTTTACCAATCTAAACATAAAATATCAATATGTTTTTGGAAAAGGTCAGTGTACCTAAGACTTTTAACTTAATAGTTATGTAAGTAAAGTTTCTTCGAAAGTTAGGAAAAGTTTACTTTTACATTTTGAGGCCATGAACTGTAAATTGTAACTTTTTTTAAACTGTACACACTCACACACATATGGCAGCATACCTCATTGCGTGACATATACGGTTGTGGTTGTTGCTGCAGCCGTCATATATTTGTGGGGAATTGTCATTGCCTACATTCAGTCTACTATTGTTTGCATGGGCATTAGGGGAAAACGGTTGGTCAAATCATTAAAGGGCTGATTGCATAGACTTTAAACAGTTTAAATTTAAATAATTAATTCATATTTGAAACATTAAACCATTTTTAATTTTATTGCATAATTAGGTACTTTTAAAAACGGTTTAGTTACACGCTTGGATTTTGGATTCTTAATTTCTAGAAACTTTCAATAATTTACATAATATTTGACGATCCATTATTATGTCTTACCATTTTAACACATCTTTATCACATTTATTGAATGATTCATTTTAAAAACCAGTTTTGGAGCATAACACTTTTCAATTTTAACAATTTTTATGTCACAATAAATCGTACAAAGCTAACGCTAAAGAGGAATTCCTTTACCAAACCATCTTCTGGTCTTAGAGCTTTACAAAACTTGAAGAAAATACGTTTAAATTTTACTTTACAAGAAAAACCCCTCACCCAATAAAACAGACACCACCTAAGGGTTAAAGCTTTTCTATGTCTTCGCTGCGCCCAAGCTTTTGCGACCATCTTGGGCTTTTGATTGGCCGTTTCCGGTTCGAGTCTCTGCTAACGGAAAATCTTTCAAGTAAAAAACCTCAAGTCAAACAACTCAAATTCTTAATTTTGCAAATTTACAGCAGATTCCCATCATTAAAATATTAAATGCTTCCTTTTCCCAACGAAATGAAGCGGAAATAGGAAGCCATTTTTATTTATGCAATTAATGACCAACGCATAAACAATAATTATTGTGCTGCGTTGTAATTAAGAACAAAAAGGAATACGCGTATATTTTGTTGGTTTGCTTAATGACTCGAAATGTTTATTCGTTTTCGTTTGGTAATTTAATACAATAATAATTACATTAATTAGCCTTTCTGTTTTTCTGATTTTTTTTAATGACAAATATTGTACATTCCATTTGCATACATCCAGCTGCGTGCTTTTGTAGGTTTTAATACATAATCGGATTTTTGTTAAATAACTATTTGAATAATTTAATTTAATGCTACTTAATTGATTTCAGGTGCTTATTTAATTTGATTTTTTTTTTCGTTTTGTTTTGTTCTGCTATTTTAATTGATTTGGTGAAATTTGGCTTTGAAATAAGTTTAAACAATAGATTTTAAGTTTACATATATTATGTGCTTTAAGGAACGCAATTTGAAGTTACAATTATTATAATTCTGTACATGGCTCATTCACACTCAATTCAATCAATACGTATCCTTATCCTTCTGCGAACCAATTATCAGCAATGGGACTTGTAATCACAATTCATTAAGACGAAATCACAGAGGTTAATAGTCGCGTTCCAATGGCACATCTACATAGTTGGGGGCTTTACTTATTTATAAGGATTCTTTTCTAAGGCGAAAGATATATAACTACAAAGGCTTTATTAATGGGGGAAATGAAAAGCTTTGTTCTTCTACTATATGTGTTTCGTATTTTTTCCCATATTTTTTCAGGACTTCTGTCTTAAGAATGTGTCATTGGAACACGGCTACAACTTAAATCACTCTATTTTAAATTAAAGTGGTTGCCACAGAGACTTGCATGCCTCCCTCTCCTTTTCCTTCTCCCTCTCCCTCTCCTTCACCTGTGAGCCTGTTGGCAGGTGGACTCGCGACACCTCGCTGAGTATACATGTGCCGTCGCACTCCGTTTGGCTGCCAAACTCCTGTTCGCAAATACAGCTGGAGTTCTCCCTGCTGAGCAAGGCCAACTGGACCCCGGCGCCGGAGGCGGCCATCTCCTCGCTGGGGGGCGTGGTCGAGGGCAGCTCCATGAGTGCCATGTCGTCCTCGCATTCGATTACGTTCGGATGCAGGGGCTTGAAATTGTTTCGGCGCCACGGTGGCATTGAGACGCCTCCACCACCTCCTGTGCTCGAAAGCCCGGGACCCGCAGCAAAGGTAACCACGCTCTGATGGTGGTGGTGTCCATGGACGAGGACATTGTTGTTCTGGCTCTGCCCACTACTTCCGTTGTAAATCCCGCTGTTAGCAGCACTCCCGTTCACCCGCGGCATATGCAAACCCGTCTTGCCATTGTTGACCCCACCGCGTGCCGGGCCAAAGAGATTACTGCGAATTCGCATCGAGGAGTTGGCGTAAGTTGACCTTATGGAGCTGGCGCGGGTGTGCATCGAGAAGGTCCTCTCGTGGGCATCCAGGCTCGTCTGGAACTTGCAGAAGCAGGCGGCGAAGCGCTTATTAAATTCCCGCTTGAACTTTTCCTGTGCAGAGAAAGAACAATAAAATAGGCTTGGTTATTTTGTCTAAACTTTGTCATATAAATATTTTAAAAATTAATTTAAAATTCCCTTTAAAAACGAAATTTAATATTTGAAGAAAATATTTAGTAAACATATAATATTTACAAATTATTTTTATGAACCATACTAAAAATATAAAATTGTAAATTATGTTAAATGTATATTTTTAACAAATTTATCTAAATTATTTCAGTCTCTTTTGTCAATGTATTTTTGCAATAATGTATGTCATTTATTCTAAATGTATTTCTAAATAATATTTCTGAATTTCGGTTTATTTAAACTCCCTCAAAGTCGCAGGAAGAATATTAAAGTGACACACGTTATATGCTTAAAATAAACTAGGAGTCTTCCCAACAAACTTTGTGATATGCCAAAGGCAAAAAAAAAATAAGAGCTATTTCTATCTCAAGTTTTTCGATATTTGTTTTCGCTGCACCAGCGAAATACAACTTTTAGTCTTCTTTCGAGCTAATTAAAAATGTGGAGTGGCAGGAAAGCCGAAACTTGCCGCCAGCTAAGGCATCTTTTTGGCTAATGAACGTGGTCTAGAAAAATCTCCACCTCCGCCGCCAAATGCCATTTGTCTTTGCTGACAGTAAAATAGAATATTTGTTGACAAAGTTTTCACGCACTCACCACCCAGGAGAAGGAAAAAGTTTACGAGCTTTCGCAGATCTCGCTCTCAATCTATCTTTTACAGACAATTTAAGTGTCAAGGCAAACAGCCGTTGGGTTTTTCCTTTGCTTTTATCGGTTTGCCACTCTGCCATTCCATTCCGAAGATTTTTGTGGATTTGCCTACATTTTGCGGTTCACAATTCCTGCGGCTCAGACTGTAGGTGTTTGCATTTTGCCTGTTGGCCACAGTGGAGCGATGCTTTAATTAACTTTGACAAAGTATTTTTTTGTGTCAGCTATTTTTGGTACTCCGCGAAAAGAAATTGGAAATTGTTTCAAAGTAAGCCGAAAATTTATTTTTGGTAAAATGTGACGCGAATGCTAATAAATCAGAGAATGGGAAAATGGGCAAAAAATCAACAAAGTAATCGATTCGTTCGAATGAAATTAAGTGAGACGAATTTCGCTTACTTCGACGCTTCTTTGAGCTGTGAGCCCATGAAACCTCCGACAAAAAGTATCCTTTGCTTTTTCTTCATGTTTGTGTTTTGATTTGATGAGATAATAGGAATTGCTAAATTAGAAAACTCAAGCTTATTTGTCTTATTTATGTACTTCTAGGTCAAGAATATAATTTGTTTAAAATGGATTTATATTTTTTAAAATTCTGTTTGAATTGAATGTCTAAGAAAATTTAAAGCATATAAATTCCAATATGTGGAAAAAAACTATTAAAGCTAAAAAAAACTTTTTACCAATATGTTTACTTATGTTGATTAGGAAAAAAGTCTTCAAATGTAGGACATTTTTTGAAAGGTTGTCTCCCGTGTGCAAAGCACTTTTCCATAAAATCCCCCTGTCAATATTTAACTCCCCCAACTTGGAGGCCCAAAACTAACCAAAGAGGTCCTTAAGTCCCTCTTCAATCCCCACTATTCCCTGGCAAATTTAGTTCCCATTTATAGACTCAAATCCCTTTAGTGCGACTCCAATGAACGTGTCCCTGCGGAAAAACAGAGGACGCCAATCAAAACCCAGACAGGCAAATGCAAATCCGACACCCGGTAAACAGGACAAACAATCATCATTATTATCGTAGCCCATACTCCCACTTACGTTGTAGATGCCATAAATAAAGGGATTGTAGCAACTATTGCTCATGGCCAGCCAGTCGCAGCAGAACCAGACGATGCTAATGAAATGGTAGTCGTTGATTTCCGGGATCGTAACATACAGAATATTATAGAGCTGCAGTGGCAGCCAGCAGAGTCCGAAGATAACGACCACGATAATCAGCATTTTGATGACCTGCCAGAGAGGGACACAAAAAGAGGAAATTAAATCCCGAACAGATTTGCATACCCATTCCCCCCTGTAAAACTCACCTTTTTCTTGTTTTTCAACAGGGTTATGTCCCGTGAATCCTGCGCGTTGCCCGGGGCACGGGTCCCCCACAAACGAACCGCCATCTGAATGTAGACAAAGCTGATGACACAAAATGGAACCAGATACTGCACAAAGACCAGAGAGTAACGAAATGATTGCAGCTGATCATCCGATAGGTTTTTGTTCGTGCAGAATGGTCGCGTCACATTGTAGGTCTCATTGTTTTCTGCGTTGGGTTGAAATGAGTGCAAATTGGTTATGCTTCGCACTTAATCCATGCAAATCGTATTGGCTTACCACGAAACCTTTCGGTCAACTTCTCCACCCGAAAGGCGATGGCAAAGGGCACGGCGAACAGCAGGGCCAGCATCCAAATTCCCCCAATTATGAACTTCGATATGAACTTTGTGGGACGTGCCCTGCATGTGTAAGCCGATTTTTAATGATTCCGGTCGATTTCGAATCGAATATGGGGCCGGACTCACCTAAGTGGATTAATGATGGCCCGATGGCGGTCGATTGCGATGGCGGTCAGCGTGAACACGGAGACATTGACACTCAGAGCCTGGACGAAGGGGCAGAAGCTGCACATGAACCACGGCAGATTCCAACTCTGCAGAAGTGCAGCCTGGAACTGTACGGAGAAAAAATATAGAAAATATTAGTAAATATTTTTTAATGGTATTTTCCAAAATATTAAATAATTCAGGACTAATAATGTCATTGGAAACCAGGATTCAAAATATTTTGTGGCATACTTTTTTGCACCATTATATAATTAAAATTTAATGTTTCCCAATTTTGCTTATAAAGGTATCATTTATTTTCAGTATTTTTAAAATTAAGAAAAGTAATAATTAAACTGGTTTGCAGTAAAACATCGTGGTCTTTCATAATGAAAAAGATTTCCGGACTGAAAATATATTATTGCATACTTTTAGACACCTTTATAAGTGATTTCAAAATTTAAATTAAATTTAATCTATTTAAAAATAATAAATAAAATGATTTTGAGTAAAATTATAATTTAAATTTAAAGACCCAGCCCAAAACTGCTAAATATGAATAAATAATACTATTTTCTCTTTCAGAAACTATTTTTTACAGTGCAAAGAAAAAAGCCCGGCACGTGTGACGGCCAGTGCGATGTGCGATGATTAAATCAAGCAGAAACTGCGCCTCCATTCAAGTCACATGGCAAACATCATTAATGGACACAGGACCGCAAACAACAGGAATCTCTGTGGAGGGTGTTCAGTTTTGGCCCTATCCCAACGATTCGGCGGCAAATAAATGGCCAAAATCTCCGTTCAGTTGTTGGTCTCTGATTTACGTGGGAGTGGGTGAAAACGTGTGTGTGGTTACTGCGGATATTTGAGGAACGCGCTTTCTCCTTTCACTCCACTCTTACCACTCAATGGCCGCCGCAAATTGCAATTTTCTCGCCAGCTTATTGATGACACTCACTGGCGTCTATGACAGGACCAAAGTTCTGTTTGATTGCGGGATTAATATAAATTAAGTGCGGAAAATGAAGGCTGACTTTGGTTCAAGTTCAAAGTTCAAAGGAATGCCTGTAAGTGAACTTAGTTGGAGGCTTTCTAAGTGGTCTAGTAAAAGGAAAAGTTTTGTTTGCAATGTGCTAATAATATTAAAAAGTCTTTATTTGAATTAAAAATTGCTTTTTTTTATTGAATTACTATATTAAATTGCGATTTATACTATCTTGTTAATAACAAATAATATTTATGTATTTAACAGGATTTTACCATATTATTTATTTAAACATTTTTATATTACTCCAATTTTTCTATTACATCCTGACCAATAAGTTTAATTTGAAATGGATTTTTAATTTAAAACCTAATCAAGTCTTCACAGAATCATGTTAACAATGCAATTAACAATTAATATTAAATATTGACTATTAATAATTATTTTCCCTCTTTAAGGCAGTGTTAGACTCTAAAATGACGCCCTTAAAACGTGCAACGAATTTGTTTTGAATGTGAGTGCGAAATTCCGTGAAACAGGCTACTGCATACTAAGTAATGTTTCTATTATTTTATTCAAATTTTCAGTGCTTATTGATCTTTGACCATTTTCCGCTTAAACAGCATTTTCAAAGCAAATTCTGTTTGAGCTTCGCATTCAATAACAACGCCAGCGATTCAGTAGATGATAATGGGGCTATACAATTTCCCCCGTATCACATACAAATTCAAATCGCTTTCATTGGTTGCCGGCAGAAAAAGAGAGCTCAGAAAATTGTTCACTTGGCTTTTAGCACTTTATTTTCAGTGGCTTATATGGAATACTAATCCCATTAACACATAAACCGAAAATCGCATTAAAATTTTGGAAGTAGGTAATATTCCATTACCGCTATCTTTTTGGGGAGGAGAGGAGGCTAGGAGGAGGCTGTGTCAATTTTCTAATTCCAAACATGAGCGCTCGCTGTCCGGAAATTAAATTGATGCCGGATTATGCCAAAATTGATGTCTCTGCGCCCTGTGCGGTTCGAAAATCTGTGTGTTTTTGTGTAGCCCATTAAGGACTGCCTATCCATGGCGAAATTTAAGTGAAAACTAATGCTAATAATGTTGTTCTGTTTGATTTATGTATATACGAAAATCATTTAAGTCGACATCAATTTACAGGATCCACACTGCGTATGCGCAATGTGTAATGTATGCATTTTATAGCCAGGTAATATAGGCCTAATTACCAGTAATATAATTAACCCATTGCGGTTGTAACTCACCTGAAATGGTATGCAAAAGAGGCCAATAATCACATCGGCAAAGGCCAAATTAGCGATATACATATTCGTCACCGTTCGCATTTGCCTCGTCGTTGCCACAACCCAGATGACTAAAGTGTTGCCAATGACAGCCACAATGCTGATTCCCCCGTAGAAGATGGACAGCAGGGCCACAATCTCAGCGGGAGCCGCGTACAAGCGCTCTGCGAATGGATTGAAAAATAGTTATCCTTTAGATTAAAGTTCACTTAGAAAAATTAGGGGAAATTTAAAATACGATAAATAAAAAGTTATCTTAGAAAATTAGAAAAAAATAATATTTGAAATTAATAATAAGTCAAGACATGGAAAAATATTTACTTGGAGGTGACACAGAAAGCGCTAATTCAAATCACTTTTGAATGTCAAAACAGGTGTCTAAAAGTATGCAACAATATATTTTAAACTCAAAATTACGATGAGTTTATAGTAAGACGCGACTATTATTTATTTACTGCATACTTTTAGACACTTTTTTTTTTTATTAAAAAATAATAATTTTAAAATTTGTTTTTAATGTCCTTGTAACTAAAAAATATATTAACAAAATTTTAAATTTATGAAAAACTAAATACTATATGCAATAAAAGCAATGAACTCTTTACGTTGTTTTGTCATTATAGATTAAATGACATACATAGATGGTTTGATATTTTTACATACATTTATTACAAATTTATTTTGAGAATTAATACATTTTTATCTTCTGCTCATTTATAACCATGACTTTCAGCGCTGAACTTGTGAAAAATCTCTTTGGCCTGACAGTAGCAGATTAATTCTAGTGTCAGTTGTCAGTCAGCTTGGTGGCAGGGCAGACGACATTGACATTCCTGCTGAGTGGTAAACGTCAAGGAAATTGAATCGGATTTATAATGCCAGAGAGAAAAATTTATAGAGCCAAATACGTTACGTCCAGTTTTAGATAAAATATTGATAGACCAAGTTTGGCTTTGACTTGGATTTCATTAGCATTATCGAGTATATCACCTGTGTTGGCTCATATCGAATTCAGTCAATTTAAGTGGTCCTTTAATTCACCACCACAAACCCCCCATTCTCATGAATGATTCAAGATCAAAGAACTAACGGCGAACTGTCAAAACAAAGGCAAACTTGTCAATGTTTTTGATTGATGATACGTCAAGTCAATTTAGTCCAGTCGGATGAGCTGGATGTCCCCAGTTGCTTAAAGGGCTTAGGGAATTGGAAATGCTTACCAAATTCCGCTTCCTCCTCGGCTCCGGGCAATAATTCCAGGCGGTCCTCGATTAAATCCATTGCCATGGCACTATCTTTTTTTTTATTTTGGTTATCTGTATCCTAATGAGGAAATAGTATCCTCTAAACCTTGTACTTTGGTCCGACTTTCCTCTGCTTATCTAGTGCAATACATCTTCAGGAAGCTCTTGGCAGCATTGCAATCTAAACAAAAGAAAGAGAGAAAGTTATAAATTACAACATTAATTTAAAGCTGTCAGAAAATTGGTAAAAAGTTATCTCCTACAAAATTCCAGTGGTCGAAGTAAATCAAGAGTGAAGACAACAACGAGTAAAACAAATGATCCACATTGAACATGGAAAAGCTAATCAAACAATCTCAGCTTTTTCCCTCAAGCAACTGACCAATTTCACGTGGGTGGACATGAGTAATGGCTCAGGTGGCATCACCTGTCAGCTTTCACATGCGAAAACTTTGTTTTGTATAATTGAAAGTGCACCGAAATTCAACATTTTCAGCTTGGTGACCAGGGGCAGTGCAACAGCATTTCGTTTCTTATGAAAACAGTTTCCCCCCAAATAATATTTTCATGTTTTTATTGAAGAGTCACGCCAACGCCAACGCCAACGCTCTCATATGTTGCCAAAACACCGTATTAAGGTGGTTCCTAAAAAAGATAAACAAAAACTGACCGAGTTCATTGAATGACTGTGAATAGGTCGCTCAGTGCGGTTAATTGGCCATTTATCGAATTGTTAACATTGTGGGGACTTGTTAATTTATCTTCTATAGTGTAAACACAGCGAAGACCTGTTAATTTATTGGGCAACTAAATGTTTATTTTATCGCCAGACGGAATTGTTATAGATTGATTTATTTTTATATGAATAAAATGTTAGAGGAATTTCTGGTGATTCTATTTGGTTTTATAAATGTTAAATACACATGCAGTTTAAAATATTCATAAATATTCATAAATGGCGCTACTGAAAATTCCCATTTCATATTTTTCATGTAAATAGTTTAAAAACATATACAAATTGTTAGATAAATTTATACACATTGCAAATTTTATTTTTCTTATTAGATGAAAAAATAAACTTAAATATTATATGGCTCAGAGAGGAAGATGATATGGTTTCGAACATCAACATTATTTCTTTATTGTGCCGGCCACAAAAACTACATGGAACCACCCTAAAGCACGGCCACAAAATCTCTAATAAAACCACTCGTAAACTTCCTTCTTTTGTAGTTGCACCTAACATACAGCTGTGAAAAAAATAATAGCACCACTAACCCAAAAAAAATTTAACTAGTCACCCTACTCACATTTTTTAACTTTTTTAACTTTTCAAAACGGGTTTTAAATAGTAAGACTAAACATAATTTGAATATGAAAAAAAATGTTAGCTTTATAAAAGGTTTCTGGACTTATTTAAGAAAATCTAAGCAAAACTGGAAAAACGTACGAAAAAAATAATAGCACCACTTCTCTAAAAATAGAATAAAAGGTAGAAAAATGACAAATGGGTAACTTAATCTTTAGTTGGCGGTAGCTAACAAGTAAATCTAAGTTTAAAGTGTAAAAATCTTTTGCGATTTTTGGATATAATGACTTACTATCGATTAAACAAGTCAGGACCCTACCTATAAAGGTTTGGGGCCCAAAAGTCATGATATATTTTCAAATTTTGTTCGGAAATGATTTAAGACGTTTTAGATTAACTGTATAAACTGTCTTTAAAAAAAAAACTCGAAGATTTTTGGTTGTGTTATGGTCAAGCGAGTACACAAGTCACTGTATATTGCTGACTGAGTACTTTCGAACTCTTTCTTTGCTATCCTGACCGTGATCCTGTCCGGATTTTATTGGTCAAAGATTCATTTAAGAAGTATTTTGTATTCAGTTTAAGCTACGAATTACTACCGTATTACTATTTACATCATAGGATGATTCATGAACGATGTATTCATCCGTATTGATCTTACTTCAAGAAGGAAAAACAAGCTTATGTTAATACTAGGTCCATGCTCAATAAATGGATGTTTTGGCACCATGTTTTTGGTCAATTTAGGTGTTTAGAAGACACATGACTTATAAAAAGGATTTCTTCTTACCCAATTTAACTTTGCCTTCACACATTCTCATAAGTTTGCGGGCATTCATTTGTAAGTTTTTTTGACGAGCCCTATGCCCTTGTAAATGTGTTTCGCATTTCGGATAGGATTTTTTTTTTAAGTGCATGTTTTATAAATTTGTTTATTGAAACATTATACAACTATTAAAATATTCGCTGATATTTTAAGCACGTGTTTTAGTTTATTTTTGGCCCTGATAAGATTCTTTGTGCTTTGTGATATAACATTTTTGAAGGAAAAATGGGCCAGGACTCGGTTTTTCTGTGTTATCCTTCAAAGTTTAAGCCATTCTTAATGAAGATGATCTAAAACCTAACCAATCCAACCGGTTTTCATGACCGTTTTCCATCCAATATGTTTCTTTTTTAAATATTTTTCTTTTCCGACTTGGAAAATTTTCAACATGTCCTTGTATTGCCAAATGGTAATCAATTTGATGTCTGGATATCAGGAGAAGTTAGTTTTAGTCAAATCTCATAAAATATATCCTTTATACATAAGAATATTAGCGCATCGTAACGTTTTATTTAAAGAAAACGGAAGTGGTGCTATTATTTTTTTCGACCTTTTTTTGACTTTTTTTCTTAAAATCTGAAAAAATTATATGTAGACAATATTTTCGATATCCGTATCAATTTTTTCAAATAGGTGGAATACTAATCAAGATAATAAAAAACACTTCTTATATAAAAATCCCCGTTTTCCACTTTTTTCTTCAATATTAAGAACCTGTGACGAAGTGGTGCTATTATTTTTTTCGCAACTGTATGTGCACATATTTTCTAAGGTATTATGGGCAGTACTCGATGGCAATACAAGTGGAAAGCTGCCTTTCACTGGAATTAGCATTTGCTTTCTAATCCTCTTTAACTGCCAGCCCAAAATCCTAAAATTAGACCCATTTGCAAGGCTCAACTGTGGAGGCTGCACAAAATACGCCAGCTTAGGACCTAATACCATTTTTCAAGTGAAAAAACTACATGGGGACTGTCGTCATTCATTGTTGAAATTTCCGTTTGCTGTTGTATGTTGTCTGTATGTGGGATACGACACCATACAGCCACCGCTAACTCATTTAGTTGGCGCTTCATCAAAGGTTCAGCGCAATTTCAAGGCCAAGCCAGAAAGTGGTTTTTTGTGTGGGCGTCCTATGCAAAGATTCGCTGCGAGCCAGTTGAAAAATTGTATACAATTTTTCAGTGGCTTGAGTGATGAAAGGAGCGGGGCAGGAAAATCGGAAAAACTGTCGGATCCGTTTATGCTTACCAGTGAGTGCAATTAGTCTGGCCATGCGAGACGCCAAGATTTTCTAATTAACGTCAAAGGAAAGTCTCGCTTTATTTGTGCCCCTCGTGTTTGGCTTGAATTTTGATGGTCAACTAATTGAGAGCCAAAGATTTTCGGGCCATTAAGCTGACGTATATGTTGGTATATGGGGCGCCTTTGAAATTATGCACAGAAAGAAATAAATCAAGATGGAAATTGTGAAGTTTTTAATCAGAATTACTTTAAACCTATTACTTATTACCTAATTATCTTAACAGTACTAAAAACATTATTTAATTTTAAAAGTTTTCAGTGTGGAATTTTCCATTCCTTACAATTATTTTTCTCCGTGTCCGAGACACCAGACGGCATGAAAAGTGCTGCTGTAGATTTCCCATGAATTTCACTTGAACCACACTCGAGAACAAAGCAACAGGGATTCATGTCACCCAGGACCTAACCATTAATTTGTAAAATTTACAGACTTTTGACTTGGCACAAACAAGGAACACGGGTCGCACGTGCGTGTTGTGCGAGTTGTGAAATTTCAGGAATGGAGAGCCGAGAGCCCGGTGAGCCCGTTGAATTGAATAACAAATTTTTGAATGGAAATTGTTGTTCAAGCAGCGAATATTATTAAAAGTGTATCCTATTAGACCGTCAGTGGGGCGTAGGAGATCAAAGTGAAAATTCATATTGGCTGGCAACGTGTAGCGCAGCATCAAAAGTTTCGCCCATCAGTGAGATCCAGTTGACAACGATGTAATATGGAAATGTAGCTCCCACATTCACGTCCTGTTCTTTTAAATAACATTGAATATTGCGCATACGACGCATAAGCCGAGCGACAACAGTCACATTATGGCAAGGCTTATACCATCGCCATGCGAAGGCATCAGATATAATATAATGAAAAAGTCAAAGAAAAGAACAGAAAAGACAACATGTCCAATAAAAGCGCAACTGTAGGCCGATGCCTTACAATACTCTTTATTTGGGGGGTATAAAGATTTTGTCATGAAGTTTGTTAGTTGACAAGATTTATTCTGAAATAAATGAACATCCTTATGATTTACAGTTTCCTCAATAATTTTATATATTTTTCGTAGTCTTATATTTATTATAGTATAATTTAATCTATTTAAATAAAGCCATTTAAATGCAAGGGCTTTCTCAATTCTACCCCAAAAACCGTATCTTCTTTTTTATGGCTTATATATTTCATTCGATCCTGTGAGTGAGGTAAAGGGACCAGCTTTTGGCTTAAGATTCGAGCGTGTAATTTCTAGGGGTCGTCGTGTGTGTCTCTTTGCTTACAATGCCAACGGACTTTGGACCCATAAGCCTGAACTTAGACGGCGTGTGTTTACGGTTTCTGGTTTGATTGGTCTTTTGGGACGAATGTTTTCAGCTGTCTAGGCTTATTTTAATAAATAATCACTTGGTTGAGCGAGGATTGTAATTAAGATGCTTGGCTTCTTGGTTAATGTGTCAAAGAAGTGGTGATAAATTTCAACCGCTTAGGAAAATGTCACGAAAAAGTTCAGATAACCCCCTGACATGGAAATGCTTTGAGCTTTGGCTTTATCTCCTTTAATTGTATTTTCCAGAGGAAACTTTTTGTAACCTTTTCGTGCTAGGCTTATTTAATTTCATTTTCCTGGGATTGACATTTTCAAGTAAGAAAAGAAAAGCGGAAATTATTTGACCCTCTTCTAAGGCGAGTGGCAATGGCAAATTGATGGCCACTTGAGACTTGGCTGCTCAAAGGCGAATCAATTAAAAATTAATTTAACATAATGCCCCAAGGGGCTGGCAGGTAAATGATTTCAGACTGTTTACTAATTTGCGCAAAGCTAGATAAAATGTTTTCGCACAATCGCTGACCAAAAAGGCTTGCCCATCATCAAGAATTCAGTTGGAAACGAAACACTTGATAAAGTGCTCTTGGCTGCTGGGGAGCAGAACTTTCCCACAGTTCATTTAACTGGCTCCTCTTACAAATTTTCCTTCGCCACTTTCGGGCTATCTTAGCCCAAAGCGTCCATCAAAGGACCTTGTTAAGTGTCTGTCATTATGGTCGCCGCTCCTTTGACATTGCTTGCGTAATATCCTGCCAATTTTATTCGCCCTTTTGCGGCTGCTCTGCTCTCTCGGTTTTTCATTGCAAGCCATTTTTCAAATGCTAAAATTAGCTAGACTAAAATTCTTTTTAAATTTAATAACGAAATTATGTCTGACCACCGATGATTGCCTTTTGTGGCCTGGCCATGTAATTGCGCATTATGGTTGAGAACGCCCTAAAAAAAAAACAACGAGTCCCAGGTGTCCCGGTCCTTTGGACACGTGGCTCGTAAAAAATAACAGAGATTGTGAACAATTATTGAACAGGTCACGACCTTCGAATGGAACGAAAAGGTATTGTAATGGGGTAATTCAAAAGTCTCAAACTTGAAAACTGAGGAAATTATTTAATTTATACAAAAGAACAAACAATATTATTAAGAACTTCAATAAAGTAGAAAAGATTCCAGCTTTTATACTTTTTTAATATGGAAAATATTTTTATACGATTGCAGAGAGCTTTACTTTTTTTGGGCAAACGTTTGTAATGCAATAAAAACTTTAAATATTTTCTTATTAAATATTTAATTTTCTAAATTTATTTTGTTTTAAAGATATTTTATTTCAGAAAATATGCAAGGGTATTAAAACTTCGTCTAGCCAGTTTCGGTTCTTGTTTTCTTATGCTAACTATATTTTCTCTTAAATATTTCATAACCTACCTTCGTATAATTAATTAATGCCTTAATAAATAATTAAAATAGCAAACATATATGCTTGTATTATGGGCTATAAATGGGATGGCGACCCTTAAGCCTAAAAGGTATAAAATATAGCCTACCCCAAATCTTTCCTTGCAAATCGCTATTATTAAAATCGTTATTAGAACTTTTGCCACATTTTGCACTAAGAATTTTACTACCCTTTCTCACGTCACGCGATCATCTTATTGCCAACAACCATAATCCAATAAAAGAACACCACGTCAAGATATAGCAATAAACATATAGAACGGAAAAGGTGAGAAGAGAGAAAAGGGGACAAAGTTTGCGCCACGAAAAGTCTAATTGTAATAAATGTGAGTGTTACCCGCAGGTGCTGTGAATCCCGGAATTACGAAACCACAGCCGAAACTCTAGAACTTCCGGCACTCACGTTCTCGCCCCGAAAAAGGATTGCAGTTAAATTGGTATTAATATAGTTTTATTTCGGTTCACTTCGCCCGAGGGCCACAATTAACTTTTCCATGTGAAATTCTAATTAAAAGTCCGTTAGCAAGTAGCTTAAATTCTTCGTAGGATTTGAATTTACTTTCACTAGATGGTTTTCCCTTTTTTTAGAGCAGGCAGCTAAGCATCCTGGCCGCACGAGTTCCCGTTATCAACTGTTGGCAGCAGGTTCTTATTCGGCTGGAACAACTGTTGAACTGTTGGCAACACGCACACGAACCCCAAAAGTACGAACTCCGTTGCCGACGATGCCGGAATTTTCCCAGTACCAGGACAAGGCGGGCCAAAAAGAAAACTCAAGTCGGGGATTTTGGCACTCAAAACACAACAAGTTGCACTTCAAACCTGTTGGCCATCGAACATTTTCCGGTGGCGCTTAAAGTTGCCCTTAAAAAGATGGGGAAAACGAGTAATTTCGCCCTTCTGCTTTTTATATATTTAAGTAAGAGTATAAATTTATGATGCTCATTTCCATTCCGCCGGCAAGTTTATGCTGATGAGGCTAAGTGAAAAATTAGCTAGAAAAGTAATAAGCAATTAAAGAGAGCTAACCACAACCTCGAAACGAATTTCTTATAAGCAAGGTGCTTGTTTTTCTTTCTCCCTTATTTTTCCACTTATCACAGCATTTCCATGTCATCAGCTTTAACGCTTCCCGGCACTAAATCCAAATGGCTGAACACAGTCTGATTTGCATACTCACTATATGGGATATACACACACCTTTTTGTAAGCACACTCGCGTTTTCATTTTCTGAATGGGAATTAAATTATATATCATGCCGAGGCAAACGGAAGGAAAATGCCAAAATTTGTACCATTCTTGTTCCTCTTTTTTGTGTGATTTTCTGTTTGCGGAGCATATGCAAATTTGTGTGGAAAATGTGGCGGAAATTGAAAACAGATAATCTGAAAAGTGCTCCTTTGCACACAACAGAATAATTCCCATTGATTGATGTCAACTTTCTGGGGGGCGGGAAAATCATTTCAAATCAACCGCGGAAATATTTGATTGCAATTAACATTTCCTTGAAGCGGATATGATTTTCCTTTTATGTAGGTTTAGATTTACTTTTATTTTATTTTTTTGGTAAATATTTTGACACATGTCTTGTATTAAACTTTAGTGCACGCATGATATCCTTTTTGGTCTCGAACATATTTGTCAAGCAGATCACGTTTGCTGGCAACTCATTAAAATGTGAAACCCTTTAAAAAAAAGGACATGTATTCTTAATTAAATTGGCAAAAGTTTGAGATTGAAGGCAGGCGAAAAAAACGTAAACGAAAACGAAAAAGTTGGGCCCACGTGCGATTCTCTAGTTTAATCAAACGAAATAGAAAACCTTTTGATGAGGTTCGGGTTCTTTAAAGATAACTTAAAGCAGGTAAAAAGTGGACTGTAATCACACGTCTGAAAATGATTGTGACACAAATTCGCCATAATGGGCTGTCTAGAATAATTCGGGGAACACGAAAATCATTGTCTATGGGGGGTCGTATTAAAATTCATCTTTCTAGCAGACGAAATTGCCACACGACAGGTGCAAATAGGCCGTAAATGTTGCCGTTGAAGTGTGCTTATTAGATTGAAACATATTTGTAGCGATAAAAATTGATTTCATTTCATTTCGTTCTATTTCACACCCACTCAGCATGAGATTGCCAAACTCCAGACTGGACCCCCGAGCCCCCATACATATATTGATTGGCATTTCGTGTATTCCAATTGAAACAAATTCCTTTTGCGGCAAGATAATTTGAAAATACACAAATATGCCAATCACAAGCTCTGGAGAATTCAATTAAAGTTTTTCGACATGCAAACAATGTATTAGCAAAATACTTGACTGGCACAGATGCTCTTATCAAGTTCCCTAGTTAATTGAATTGAAGATTTAGTTGATTGATAAAGAAAATTGATACGTTTGCATTCGAAATGCCAGATTTGCATATCGGGGCACATATTACTTGCATCACTTGGCAAACGACGAAGCAATTGAAGTGCATCTAATTTTCCCTGCTCACAGTTCACAGCACTTTCAGCCAGACGCAGAAGCCGAAGACGATTGCAATGGCAATGGCAGTCCTAAATCAAGTTAATCAGCACATTTAAATGCACATAAAGGGCACAAAGGCGACAAGACACCATTTTGCACGTGCTTTTCCCCCAGCCAAAAAGCCAAAGAAGTGTCCGGACCGAAGAATCCCACATCTAATCGGACATCTCAAGTGGCAAAAAGAAACCAAACTCTATCCCTTGTGGAAATACAGCCATTTCCAGACGGGCAGAAAACAAATTTCACAGTCTATTGTGAGTTACTTTCGGCGCTCGAATAAACCCACACAATATAAATATTCAATGTAACTAATTATTGTCCCAGTGTTATAAATATTAATAGAACTCGGGCCTCCTGGAACTGTCTAGACCTGATGGATCTTTCTATTCGGCAAATCATGTCGCTAATGACATTCGCTGAAGACATCAATGCGTCTATTCTTGGGCCAGGTAAATGCCTAACATGGGTCACCATAAATATTTAATTATGGCCAGATAATCACTTCATTGTTATAATGGTTTCGGCACACAACAAAAAAAACTTGATATTATTCATAAGGAAAATTCTCTATGTTACATTCGATATTAATTAATGTCAATTTAACATTTTGTTTGGAAAATGCAGAAATAATTACCAAAATGGCATTTCCGAATGTCAAATATTTAAGAGAATACATACATTACATTTAATTTAATTAAAATGCATTGTTTGTAATTAAATACATTTGCCTTATGCCATTTTCCCTGCAGCAGTTTGCCTGTATTAAATATCAATTTTATTACATTATCTGCCCTTCAAAACCAAATGAACTTTGTCCTTTTTAGGCCCATTTAAATAAACTTTATTATGCTGTCCATCAACGAAAGGCAACTGACGTATTTATTATTATTCATATCTTACAATATCCATTGTATATGTATATATAATGCCCTCTTCGATTGGCATCAGTGACTTTGTGTTCATAAAATATTCCGACTAAAATGCACTTTTGCTTACTTTTGTGCTAAGGATTTGCCTGCCGCTTAAGAAAGTTGAAAGACGTCACTTGAAGGATTTCTGGCCATGTTTATTTTAACTTAAAGACAATCAACTGCTTAGAGCGAATTTCCATTCGACTAAAAATAGGACAAATTTATGCAGAAAGAGACGCGTCGAGAAAAAGTTTCTACAGCTTGACAATGAAAAGATTTCATCCCCCGGACAAAAATGTCAAAGATTTGCAAATAATTGCTATATTACAATTTGCAGACATTTTAAGTAGAGAGTTTCCACTGCCAGAGGAGGGTGAAAAATTTGCATTGCTCGAGAGCTCTCTTTTTTCAGCTTGACAAGTAGAACCCTTCTTTCCAAAAGTGCTAAAGTAAAACGACAAACAAAAAACGAAAAACAAGCGAAAAATGAAAATTTTCCAATAAAAGTCAACAAGCGGGAAAACAAGTAGAAATATTTACGTGGCTAAGTTCGTGTTGGCATGTGCATAAGAGGACTTTCACAGACGGTAAACAGAAGCCTGTTGATAGATACAAGCACTTGGCAAAAATGTGCGAAATTAAATACCTAAAATTATTTAAAATCCATTTTCATATCTTTAAGGCCATAAATAATAATACATTAAATTAAATGCAACAAATTCATAATAATCCCTAGGAATTATTTAACTCAAACATATTTGAAAAGTTGACAAGTTACCAAGAACCCGCAAAAGCAAACTTCTTCTGAATTTGTTCAAATTAATTTAAGGACTTTTCAAAGTTTTCAAGTTGTCTTGAAAATCGGTAAAATTGCAACCACTTGGGGTTCTGTGCACTTCTGATTAAATGCGCTCTTGAAAGTTCTTTAAACTTTCCTTTAAGCCCCCTTCACATATCTTGAAGTGGGTCCCAGAAGAAAACTCTTTAATTACCCCAAGCAGCTGGCACCCGTTCAGTGAACCTTGCAACAATCTTGAGAGTCGAGCTCGGTTCAATTGAATTTCTCCATTCTGCACAAGAAGTTCGGCTAATTTTTGAGCAAGCATTCGTATCTAATACAATTTGCCATTACAAATTCCAACTGTTCCTTGACCTTTTTGCCAAACAATGGCAAATGCCGAAGAGGTTCCAGGTTCCACACAGAAAGAAGGTGAAACAACAAAGCTGAGAAATCCCCTCCCAACGGTCCAATTAAACGATGCAAACCTGACAAAGCATTATTATCATCTGATGAGCGGGTCTGTGGGGATTTTTTTAAATGACAAAATCTCCTGTGTGGCGCAGCAATGACATTATATCGGTAATACTGGAACAAAGGCTGAGGAAATAAATAAAATAAAATGCCGAGAAAAGCCCATCAAAGCGAAAAGAGAGCAAATATATTTTTAAAGATTTTTCCTCTTGCAAAAGTAAAATATTCCTGGAAATAATAATAAGCCGCCTTTTTAAAGTAAATTCCATATTGACGCTCTCGTAAGTAGACTATAATAAAATCCCTTTAAAGTTTCGTAAATCAATAGCATAATCCTCAGGCCTTTTGAAACACTCTCTCTCTCTCAATCAGCGGGATAATTAAAAAACGAAATTAATAAAGCCGGTAAATTATAAAACAAGGGGTTGAAATTATTTCGCTACCACAGAACTTTCAGACCTTTAAGCTCCAAGGATAATGTAATTAATTGTGTTATGCGATATCCCGACAAGCTGCGTGGGCTGCGATAACAGAAAACAACCTGAGATAAATACATTTAATCAAACACTTTACTCGCAACAAAAACAACGAAAGGCATTATTAACAGCCCAAAATCATTATCTTTCGTAATTAGTGGCTTAGCAATTAGAAACCGAATTCCAAGGGGTTAAATACCAGGCAAAACAAAGAAGAGAAAGCATAAGCCTTGTCTTGGTTTTATTAA